GTTAAAAAAAAAAAAAAAAAAAAAAAAAAAAAAAAAAAAAAGGCAGATTCAATGCTAGTAAATCAAAAATTTGTGACATACCAGCATCCAATTCCTCTGTTTCTCATGCATCTTGCCCTTCAGTTTGGGGGTAATGAGGTCTCTCATCTCAGGGAGGAGGGTCTCCATGACAAGATTGGCAAGGATCTGGGAAGACAATCATAAAACTGAATGTGTGTGTGACGATAAAACACCACTTTAACATGGGCCTTTATTAAAATCAACATCAATTCTGAAAAATCAAAGTTCTAAAACACTGCATGTGTTTTAATGACATATCCGGATCATATAGGCCCGGAGGGTATTTATTTAAGATATAACAGGAAACCTGGCTTGCCTTGAGCACATTACAATTTTACTATTGCCAGACTGGTTTGGACACTGATCATATATCATTAAACTAGTTAATGTGACATCCTTCCAAAGCCTACAGGACTTTAAAAATAAAGAAAAATGAACCTGTGTAGGCTTAACCTCTATCATTCAACTAGAAATATTGCTAACATGGTTTTAGAGTCACAAGTTACAGAAGGACACACTCCTACGACTTTCACATGATGTCTCTCTTTGTATTTGTTTCACTCGTTCCAGAGAGAAAACAATGGCATTAAAGAACTCAGCTACGAAGGAAAATAATACTACTGTGATACTGGCAGGAGGATCACAGGTTACACACTGACATGCTACATTGTTTTACTTTATACTTCCAAGATACTTCTTTATCAGATTATCTGATAAAGCTGGTTAATTAGCCACAGTATAACCATAGTATAAATTATTATATTGTTACAGAGTTCCACTTCACAATGACAAAAGACTTCCCTGTAAATCAAGGTCAGATTCCACCGATTCCACTATATTATAGTTGTATGAATGGTAATCCAGCATAATCTACATATTTTATTTGCAATGACCGAGCAATATTTTATGAAGTACAGCTGATGGATACCTATAAACCCCTACCCTACCAGGAATACCATCCTCTCTTTCTCTGACACCCACAACAACTTTTCTACAGGGACACCATGATTCGAAACGGGTCACTTCCTGTGAATCAAATTTAACTCTGACCTTCATCTGTATTCTATCATAATCCAAACAATTACTGTGTGATTTCCTTTCACCTTCCTATGCAGTGCCTTTAAAAAAAAGAAAGAAAGAAAAAAAGAAAAAAAAAGATTTGCTGTAGATTTATCGTATGTAGGTAGGGTCACTAGAGATGCAAACAGGTATCACAGGAGATTTCTATAAACTGAATTGTTTTTTGAGCATTGCTTAACATATGCCCTAAAACTCTTGCTAAAATTCTGCATTTACTTGTGAAGAAAAAAACCCCATAAAAAATAAATAAAGTGTGTTTTATATATTTATTTATATTTTAATAATATATATTTTATTGTAATAAATAAATATCTTCTAAAAACATTACTTTTATTTTGAAAACCTCAAAAGTGCATAAGAACCTAACAAAAAGAATCTAACAAGAGCTTCCCAGTATGCATAAAAGTATGTGTGTTTTACCTGTGGAGGCGTCCCACACATCATCTCCCAGGTTCCATAGTGACCATGGGCCTGTCGATAGAGTCGCACTGCATCTGTGAACGTGGGGGTCTGAACTTTACATTCCTCAGGCAGTCCTGAGCAGGAGAACAGGACTTTATCATCATCATCATCATATTCAACATATGCAAGCAAGTAACAAACCTTTTTATTTTTAACAAATAATCAAGAATCAAACACCATTAGTTATTAATTTCTAATGACATCATAACATGGCACAGTTCCTCTTGATTTAGAGAAGTGAAAAGACCAAGTGACAAAAAAATGAAAGAGAGCGGATATCTTATATATATATATATATATACACACCCACAGGCACATCTCACAATCATATTTTCCCATCAAACCACAGACAGACTTCAATCTGCTTTGGTCACCGTGGTAAACAAGAAGCATTGCCTCATCAGTTACCATGGTATTTCCCTAAACAATGCCATAGTTACCGCAGTATACTGACGAGTCTTAGAGAAATGATGTATCTGATGTGTGAATCGAACACAATTTGAAGACAAGCTATCTCGAGTTCGGTGCTCTGACAATCGGCTTCATATCTATATGTCAGTTATGATGACACACTTATTGTAAAAGCCTCCTGTACATACAGTATGTGTGCACGAGTGCTTGAACCCTTACAAAGAGAGGAAGTTTGAGCAGGCTGGGTGTGGGGGGCTGGAGGAGAACAGGCAGGAAGTCCAGCACTCCACATCAGCACAGCTTGACGCTTTTGTGAGTGCATGCACACATGGGCAAGCATGTTTATGAACACGTGCAGAGAGAACCAGAGAGTGTTATGCGAAAACAAGGGTTATGGGTCGTTCATTCAGGCATAGTCAAATAAAGTACAAGTAAAGTAAAATAATAAAATAAATGTAAAATAAGTATATTCATGAACACAAAAGAAGAACTGGAGAGGTGTTAACAAAAACAAGAGAACATATATTATGAGTCACTTATTCTGGCACAGAAATAAAAGAAAAGAAAAGAAAAGAAAAGAAAAAGCATTTATGAACATCTGGGGATAACCTGAGAAGTGTTATGCAAAAACTAGAGACCAAGCGTAACGGGTTGCTTATTCTGGCACGGTCACCGTAAAAACAACTGATCTTAAGTCAGTCCAAAAACACCAGATGATAAAAGTACAATGAGAGAAAAATGAGGATCTTTGGTGAAGAAAAAAAAAATCCTCTTTACACACCCTAATAACCCTGACACACCAATGAGCTGATAAATACCTTGCACAACATGAGACTTAGGTTGGATAACACTAGGCTAAGTTCAAGCTTTGAGGTTTCACATTTGTATCCCTTTCAGTCGTAATGTAACTGTGCATAAATACTCATTGTACAGGAGGAATTCAAATTATTCTGACTGTTTACGCATATTTGTGTAGCTTTTGTCAGGTTGTCAATCTAAGGCCTTTAAAATGACATTCAATAGGCTTTCAAAGAGCAACTTTGTGTCTGGACACTGGAGAGGTTTTAAACCACCTGGACTTAATTCATTAACATGCCTGTAAACCTGTTCAGCTGCCTAATAAAACCTTCTCCCAAGGCTGACATGCACCATATACATTATAAATCTCTGTAGGACTTGAGACACAGTCTAGCAACTTTGTGTAGGCCATCTCATGACCATAAATAACAGAATTAAGTAAGGTTTGTGACATACGCAGAAGCTGTTTTGCTCCTTTTTAGACATGAAAAGAATAAAAGAAAAAAGAAAACTTGTTGAAAATGTATCCAGTCTCAGGCAATCCAAGACATAAATTATTTGGAGAAATTTAGCTTTACATCACTAGCTCATCTATGTTTTCTCTGTAGTAAATGGGTGCCGTCAAAATGAGAGTCCAAACAGCTAATAAAAACATCACAACTATCCACAAGCAGACTTCAGTCCATCAATTAACATCTAGAAAAGTTGCACGTTTGTAAGAAACAAATCCATCAAGGCATTTTGACTTTAAACGGTCACTTCTGGCCAAAATCCATAACACTTCCTCCAGTAAAAAAGTCCCTCCCCTGTTGTGCTGTCACATCCAAATCTACCGACATGTTTGTTTAGAACTGATTTTGCTTGTAAAAATGTGCTTGATCTGTAATGATTTCAGATGAGATAGAGAAAGCATTTTAGTCTGAAGCAAAGATTTGAAGTTAAAAACATCTTAATAATGTATTTTCTTTTTACAAACACAAAGTTTTCACTCCATAAGACATTAACTGATGGACTTAATCATGTGGATTAGTTGTGTCTTTAATCAGCCCTCATTCTGACGGCACCCATTCACTGCAGAAGTCCAGAGAATCCAATGTAGAGATGTAATGCTACATTTCTCTAGATCTATTCCAAAAAAAGAAACAAACTCATCTACATCATGGATGGCCCGATGGTGAGTAAATTAAAGCAAACTTTCATTTTTGGTTGAACTATTCCTTTTAAAGCCTCTCTCGCCCAAGCCAAAAATCACACGGGGAAAATCAGACGAACAAAACAACGGACAGCATGGTTAAATTGCCCTTGCATTCCAGACTTTACTGGGCCACCAGTACAAACAGATTGCTCATGACAGCACGAGCCCGCAGAACTCAACAAGCCAGGATACTTACTGCAACATCTAGTATAGTACAGTAGAAATGCATGGGTTTCTCCAACAGCCTTATAATTAAGTGGTTTTAAACACTGTACATGTAAATGATGCAATTCCAAAAACATGCTGTGACTTGTCAGGATCCAGCCCTGATCTTACTCTGTTCATGCACGCTTGGGTTTACTCCTCTGGGCATCCAGTCACAGAATAACACCATCCTATTGGATCACTGCATGTTCCTAATGTCCTGACACATTTTAAGACACCGATGAGCTGTTATAGGCAATATAATATATTAAGTTACACACCCCATTTAGCTCTTTATGGAGAAGTGGAATTTGAACCAACACAGTTCTGACACAATGCTCACCCACAACCATATCGAAGACATGTGCCTGGCTCATGTTTTCAATTTAGATGCTTTAATTCTCAGCAGATGTTGTGACAAATAAATTCACAGTGCCCAAGAAATAAAAAAACTTCTGTTAGAGTCATATAATATCAAATAAAGAAAGAGACATTAGTTACGGAGCCCCTAAAGGGACATGGTGGTGGGAAAAAAATGAGAGTGAGTGAAAAAATTTGGGGTGGGAGGAAAAAAATTTTTTCAGATTTTTTGTGTTCTCTTGAGAAACTTTGCATTCCCTCGCAAAGATACTTGCGTTCCCTCGCAAAACTTTTGCATTCTCTCGCAAAGATATTTGCGTTCTCTCGCAAAACCAGTTGAGTTCGGACAAACACTTCCTGTTTACTTTACAGATTGTAGTGGTTCATACAGCTCCATACGTTCACAACGGAGCGGTTCATAGAGTTTTATTTTGAACTTGGACGAAATAGTCAGTGCATGCTTATCAAGGCACAGTTTTGGGACATTCCAAAACGACGTTGCTAAACCACTGGATGACTAAATTCAGTACATACCTTATTAATAAAGCATACAGACAAGCGAGCGACGAGACAAAAACATTAAAACCCATTATAAACGAGTCATTTGTTGCATCCAGTGGGGACATAATTACTGATTATAATGACTTATACAGTCTTTTTACGCGTTGCGTATCGCGCTGCGTAAACACAAAACCATGTCTGCATTTGTGATCGGAAAAACAACAAACACTACTCTACACTGCTCAAAACTCACGTTTGAATCGTCAGTGGCAAATTCTTTAAATATAAAAAACGTACTTACAGGCTGTGAGTCAGAAGCGCCAGACTGTCCTTGCAAAGTTGGAACTGCCCCAATTTATAGAAACAGACACCAGCATTGTAGGCTACTCTCACATGAAACAGTCCTCATCCTCCGCAAAATGCGCTGCACACATCTGAATATTTGGGTTAACCTGTTCTGGAACAGTGTTGTAAATACAACTCAACCACTGATTTCTAGTTGTGTCCTCTTTTGGAAGGCCAAACAAAGTAGTTTCGCTTTCACAACGAAAAACACAGCGGCCTAGCGTGAGGGGAAGCCCCGGCTTAGCGTGCGCTGAGGCTGGGATAGAGTGAGCTCAGGCGGGCTGGACTCCGCTTTGTCCACGGTGAAAGCCGATCCGGCGATGCACAGCGCGATGTTGATGTATTTCCTCAGTTACCAGCACGGATCAGCTCCAGGCATGACGAAGCAGATATTGTCCTCTTTTGGAAGGCCAAGTTTCGCTTTCACAACGAAGCACACAGCGTCTTCACGACATGGCTGCAGCGTCAACAATACTACAGTGAGAATTAAAGTTACGCCTTCTTTCTTTGCGTTAACATTTGGGCGGCGTTATGCAAATTTTCCCAGATCGTGACGTAGGTATGTGGGGGCGTGTTAGAACGAGCCGTTTTAGGTAGGCGTGGTTGACTTTTATAAAGAATATCTTTTTGGATTTGAGACTTTAGTCTTTGCAACTTTACAGATCTTCTTTATGCACCAAGAGCTTGTAACACTCCAAAGAGAAAGGAAAAATTGAAATCAGAGCACACTTCGCTTTTCAGATCGATGAGCTTTGTAAAAATCAACGCGTTTCAGATATTCTTATTAATAAACATACAGACAAGCAGAATAGCCCAGAATAAGAACGTAGCCCGGTAAATTGCACGTTAAAAGCTTATCCCCCACAGAAAGAAAACTCTTAATTAATGGACTAAGACAGTGGCATAAAAAGGTCGAATTCGGTATACAGTTTAATAATAAATTATACATGAAAGCAGGTAAGCCCAGAAAATGAACAGAAGCGTTTTCCTCCCATAAAGAAAACGCGGCTTAATGAAGACAGTGATAAAAAAGACCAAATATGCTATAGAAATTATTAAAAATAGGCTATATTCTGTGTACATGCAAGCAGATGAGCCCATATGAGCTGAATTGCATAAGCGTTTCCCCATAGAAAACCACGCTTAACATTTCTAACCATTATAGAGACAAAGATTTTTTAGCCTTATTAATTGTATGTCATGTTTTATGTCATATTCTTAACATTCCATAAAGTGTACACATTATTAATATAATAAATA